GGCTGACATGAGAGATAGTCATGCTGAGACAGTCACACTCAAGGGCCACTTCTTTTGCCCCTCTGTGTTTCTCATAGGGGGAGCCTGGTGCTGCAGGGATTCCTGGTGACCCGGTAAGATGGCCCTGGTCCCACAGGGCCCCCATCCTCATGTGGTGACCCAGTACTCTCATGGTGTCACCATGTTGCCCTGCGGCCCCCACCTTCACAGTAACCCCTATAATGGTTCCACCCATGTGGTGACCCCCTTCCCGTGCTGGCCTTTGTCTCCATGGAAAATCTTGCCCTTCCAGTGACTCTGGTCCAAGGGTGGTTCTCACCCCCACGGTGTTCCCCGTCCACAGTATCCAGACTGACTCCCTTTGACCCCTCCCTGACTCCCTGACTTCATGCTGAACTCTCTCCCTCAGGGATCCCCAGGAAAGGATGGAGTCCCTGGCATCCGAGGAGAAAAAGGAGATATGGGTTTCATGGGTCCCCGGGGCCTCAAGGTGGGAAGGGGACTGGGTTTTTTTCCTGGTCAGGTGGTCTGATGTTGGAGGGCAAGTTATCTGGGGTCAGAGGTCAGGTATCCAGGGTCAGATGTTATGGTATCCAGAGTTTACTGTGAGGATGCTAGGTCAGGGGTTAGAAGGCGAGAGGTTGGAGTGCCTGAGACCAGTGTGGAGACTGGGGTTATAGGATTAAGGGGTTACAGGGTGAGGTATCTAGAAGCCGCTTCCCGCCTGCTCTTTTTCCTCAGGGTGAACGTGGGGTTAAGGGAGCCTGTGGCCTCGATGGAGAGAAGGGAGATAAGGTACAGAGGTGAGGGGAGGGTGTGGGTGGCTGCAGGGCCTGAGGCCTCAGACTGACCCCTCCACCCGTCACCTGTAGGGAGAAGCTGGTTCTCCGGGTCGCCCTGGGCTGGCAGGACACAAGGGAGACGTGGTGAGTGCGGGCACACCCAGAATGGGGAGAGGGTGGGCGGGCCAGGGCCTAGCTCACGCCTTTTTTCCTCCAGGGGGAGCCAGGTGTGCCAGGCCAGTCGGGGGCCCCTGGCAAGGAGGGCCTGATCGGTCCCAAGGTACGGGTCTCTCAACAGTGGACACCAGGGGAGCCTGGATGGGCAAGGAAGGTCACGATAGGGCCGCGAGGGTTTCAGATGAAGGAAGTTGTGGAAGGCTGGGACACTGTGGGTGGAGTAGAGCTGGTCTTGAGGTTTCGGGGTGGGTCAAGGTTACAGTGGGATTAGGATGGAGGGATGGGAGGTGGGCAGCGTGACATGTGGATTAGGGCTAAGGGTTTACAGCAGGTGGGGGAGGAGGTTAGAGGTTCAGTGTAAGAAAATAGGTAGAGTCAGGGTGGAGATGTCATAGTGGGGTTGGGGTCCTGGGGATCACAGTGGATGGAGGGTCCTGGGCTGGTAGGGTCATGGGTGTTTGGGTTACAGAAGGTGTGGCCATTGGGCCAGGGTGCTCATGGCAGTTGAGCTGAGGGAGGCCAGGGCAGAGGGTCTCTCATTTTTTCTGTTCCCAGGGTGACCGAGGCTTTGATGGGCAGTCAGGACCCAAGGGTGACCAGGGCGAGAAAGGGGAGCGGGTAAGTTGAGGTCATGGTGAGCTGAGGGGATTGTGCTCTCTGGAAGTGAGAGCCTCTGATCACTGACCCTGGCCTCTTTCTCTCCAGGGACTCCCAGGAATTGGGGGCCCCCCAGGTCCCAGGGGCAATGATGGTGCTAGTGGTCCCCCTGGGCCACCTGGCAGTGTTGGTCCCAAAGGATCTGAAGGACTTCAGGGCCAGAAGGTGAGGGGCCCTGACTCTGACTCTTCACTCCTGAACCTGCCTGACTCTTCCAGCTTCACTGACCTCTGACCCTGTAACCCATGTCCCAACATTCTTGCCCCAGCCTCTGAACCTCTAATCCCCAACTTGCCCTACTCTGACCCCTACCACCTCTGACCCTGCTCACTCGGTCCTTGTGTCTGACAGGGTGAGCGAGGTCCCCGTGGAGAGAGTGTGGTGGGTGCCCCCGGTGCCCCTGGGGCCCCCGGAGAGAGAGGGGAACAGGTGAGTGAGGATTCCTGGGCTTGGCGTCAGAGATGGGGTGATCTCTGGTGTCCCTGAGATCCGAGGTCACAGCCTGGTCCCACCATTGCACATAGGGGCGGCCAGGACCTGCTGGCCCCCGTGGTGAGAAGGGAGAAGCTGCACTGACGGTGAGTGTGGGCCGGGTGGGCTGGGGCCCTGCCTCCTGCACCTGACCCCC